ACATAAATGTTATTTTTCAGCCGAAATACATCAATCAGTTGCACTCCCAAGATTAGGTTGGGGTGCGAGTCATATACTCAAAATAGAGGACGATATTAAGAGAAGATTGATCGAACGTGCTTTAAGCAGAATGAAGGTCATATTGAATATGAATATTCGGTAGGCAAATAAATACTATATCTGACTCTTCGAATGACGTGAATCTCAGCCTGATCGGGAACAGCTTTTACGAAACTGATTCCGATCTTAAGGCTGTTGGAAACAGTATCATACAATGTCGCTGAGGATTTCTCATTAGCACTGACGACCCTGTGACTGATGCAAAGAACGCGAACAGTCATCTAAAAGGAATTATCTCCTTCATCCAACTTGTCAATGCCCCATACAGACGATTAGGCGCTAATCCAATCTTCTCAACTTTCACCTCTCTGGCACCACCGCTGAAATAGCAGTTTGACCATCGTGACAAAAGGCGTTCGGTAGTTCATCGAGTTACAGATGCTGCTCTGGTCGATGTAGTCGCTTACTCCTAATAATTTTGTTTACCCGTCTTTATTCCAAGCGCTTTTAGAGAGTGCATATTTGAAAGTCCATTTGGAGCGACAACCGTCATGAAGTACCTTCAACCTCTCCCAGACTTCGTTGGACTCATTTTAAAATCAGCGCCTCACTGGCATTAATGAAAATCGATCCTGATCCGTCGGTAGTAACTTGCACCGAAGGCGAAGCATACAAATGAGAAGTTTCTCCACCTTACGTTTATCGTTTGTCTGTATGGTTTTCCTCAGGGCCACATCATTATGTCTGGATTTACTAGTTAGAAGCTGAAAATTATGCGTTATCTCAAGCATTGTTACCAGGCGAAAGTTAACTTTGGTCGTGATTTGACGTTTTCACCGTTTGTTTCGAGGAATGCCTTCTGAAATAGCACTGACCCTGGCAAAAAATGGACTCATTTTGGAGGAAAAGCACAGTCCAAACATCCAGCTAGATATCTCACTGACCTGGGTGATGTAGATGACACTGTTTTTGTGAATAGCATGGAGCTAATAGACCTCATCATCAGACGCTTCTGTATACAACATAACTACGAAAGCTGGCTTCCATCTTAACGCTCGGAAGTCGTCCAAAGTTATGACAAATCCATCCGGCATGGCAGATCTGTTTATGGAACAGAGAGGTGCAACGGTAAGGGAAGTAGACTAATCTAAGTATCTCGGCCATGTCATTTCCAACGACGGCACTATTCATTTAGAGTTAAGATGACCGCCCTGGCATCGAGTGACATTGGTAACCTCTTCAATATTTAGGCTGAGAAAGAAAAAATCCTATTCAAAAAATCCGGCTGTACGTTACCTCAGTGAGATCAGTGTTGCTGTACTGCATGGAGACAGTTGTTCTAAAGAATGAGCAAGAACGTCGGCTGAACTACGCGCAGCAGTGTTGGACCTGACCAATAACGGTTAAATGGTTTAAACGACTCTGTTTATTTCAGGACACAGGTGACCTCAATAGATGTGAAGATTAAACGAAGGAAATTATTCCTGTCAAAGAAACTGGGTGAGCAAAAACCATTTACTCCAGTCAGGAGGAGATCCGTATGGAAGTCGAAATACGGCAGACATCGACATGGAGGTCAGTATGCTATATGCAGGAACAAAGAAGATGCAGGTCTGTTTCTGGAGAAAAATATGCGATGCAATAACTAATATCTTATGACAAAAGTATTGAAAAGCTGCCAATGCAGCGGATGTAATGAACCGGAGATGTGTTCTGCTTATGCAGGCGGCTGATAGTGATGATCTCAATAAACACACAACAGCGCACATCCATCAAACAAGGTTTCAAGCAAGATTAAATTTAAAATTACACAAGTCAAGCCATGGTTTTTATCTCCATGTTGAATAATTTACCTGACTACGTATTTGCATACTTAAACTTTGAAGCTGTAGACAAAATAACCAAATAAACAAATAATAACGAATAAATGACTGTCGACGAAATAAAGATGCAACGTAGGTTGCCCTGTGGCAAGTGTGCTACTGATGTAACCCTTTCCTTAAACACACATGCAACTAAGTCTGTTTAGACACCTGATTCAGCTGGTCTTGTCACGTCAGTTTTGATCAGCCAAATAACCAGATCGTTGTAGGGGACTATAAGTGAAAGTTGACACTCATTCCAGATTATTCTTTTGCACTTGTGACATTCGTCTGTAGTTTCATACAAAAATGGTTTATTTCAGTAGATAACAGCTTCGACGTAAAAATATTTTCAGTGCACAGAGATGGTCCCATTCGCGGTGTTCGCTACTGTACAGGGATAAATAATTCGCCATGATTGGACGGCTTATCCTGGTGGTGAACCAATTGGCCAACCGAATGTTAGGCGCAGACGGTTTCTTCCTGGTCGTACGTCGTGGGCGAATCAGCGCCACTGGAATGCCAAAGCGCTGCATCAGTTGCCATTATCAGCCCCACTCTTCTGCAAATCTAAAATTGCATACGCGGAGATTAAAGGGTCCGCCACACTTTATTGAACTGAAAATACTGAATTTACGCAGTCAGTGTCAGTCTAATCCTCAAACCAACAGGGGCCGACAAATCCAATCTAAAGAAACCCAATCTTGAACAATATCACGTGCAACATTGGGACTTTGCTAAACCCTAGGTGTTAGCTAAACAAAGACTTCCAGCCATATTTTTATGCGTGAACTCTAACGTCTAAGGTCTGACTCTCTGAGGTCAGCTGTGACCAGAGGGTAGCAGCGTAATTCCTGACGTAGCACTGCCACTTTTCATTATGCGCTGAAGTCAACCCTGATACGAGCAGTTCAAAAGTATTTTTTTAAATTTCGTTGGAACAGTCGTTTCCATGCCGCACAGCATCACTAACCTGACCGAGGAAAAGTAGAGATCAATTTTGTGGTAAGAGGTAGTCCTTCCTCAACCCAATTATTGAACCTCAACTTTCCAAAAGCACTCAAAGCAAGGGCGATTCTCATGTTTAACTCTGGCTGGATGGTGCCACAGTTGAGGATGAGGCGTTGCGCCACTCAAATTGGTTAACCT